AGACAAGAGATGGACATCCCTCTTCATCTCCTTGCGCCATTGAATCGTACAAGGTATAATATCGTCGGCCATTGCATGTCTATCCGATTACGATCGTACACAATTCTTGCTCGTAGTCTGAGTCCATAATATATAGATTTTTTTAGTAATTTTTCATCGTTTGCAGCTCCAACACTATCGTCATACAGCTGCGTGTGAATGCACATGTGCATCTTACCTGGTGATGAGCATGACCCTCCCCCCGATTGAATTGTTGTATAAATTCGTGCATTCCCAACTCATCACAACCACGCGCTCTTCAGCCGAACCATACAGACACCAGCAAGGACACTTCCGTTGAGAGATAATAATTCTCCACGCCTCTAGACCGCTGTTTCGCTCCCTGTCGGAGCTCATCAGTAGAGGATAATAATGATGATAATGGAGGAATGATCGTTCTTATACACCAGAAATGGCGCAAATGCGCCCTTTCCACAATGGCATATGCAAGCTGCTAAAATGGTAAAGTGTGACATCTTTGATCGGACTGAGCTGAGCTGCTGATACGAAGCGTCGACCAAGCATCCCTGACTGGAGTGAATGCCCCAGCTGGCCTCTCGTTTGTCAGTGGTTGCTACTAGACCTAGTATCACACTCACGACTACAAGTTTCCTGGTGTGCTTCGACATCGGCATCAGTTGGGCCTCCCGCTGTCGATCCTGTTGACGGGTGGACAGGTCGGTGTGAATCCTGAACGGCAACCAAGCCTGTCGCGTTGGGGGATCTCGGCGGTGAGTCTCGCCTCGCCTGCATACATGGACATTGCAACATCATAATAATAAACAACATACATGTACTTTCCATTGGCATCAGTATTCCGCGTAAGATTTTCGTCGCTTGTGTGGTGTGTTTCTCCACCAATGAGCGCGTAATATGATTATTTATCGCTGTTCTCACACTTTACAATTTTAGCAGCTTGCATAATAATAATAATAAACACAGCTCGCATCTTCCCTGAACCTGTTAGACAGGAGCAGAGTCGACGCATCTGTCAACAGTGTCAAGCCAAGTTAGTCTATCTCCTGCAGCTTGGAGAGCGCTCTCCACGGAGAGATCCGCTGCCTTCAGGTCGTGCCGAATCGTATCTATCCACCGCAATGGCGGACGGCCACGGGTTTTTTTTATGTCGTTTGCGTTGATTGATAGCTCCAGTGCTTGGAACGAGGCGGATTCCGGACCCTCTCGCACCACATGGCCAAACCACAGCAGCCTGCGTCGCCGACATGTGGCACTAACTGGAGATTGTTTTGTTTCTGTGTATAAGTTGTTATTGGTGTTATTGGCTTGCATATGCCATTGATATAATTTAAACTATGTGGAAAGCGCGCATTTGCGCCATTTCTGGTGTATAAGAATGATCATTCCTCCATTATCATCATTATTATCTTCTACTGATGAGCTCCGACAGGGAGCGAAACAGCTGTCTAGAGGCGTGGAGCAATATTATCATTATCTCAACAGAAGTGTCCTTGCTGGTGTCTGTATGGTTCGGCTGAAGAGCGCGTGGTTGTGATGAGTTGGAAATGCAATGAATTGAAAATATGGCCGAAAGCTCTGTCGCAATATTTAGTTCTGAAATTTTTGCATGGTAAGTAAAATAGTTTACTAAGTTGCTGTTAGGTAAATCGGGGGAGGATTTTTTTTCAACAACTCTCCAGTACCTGTAGACACTTATGGGTTGTGATGGTGATTGGGTTATTACGGTTGTCATCAAAGAGTTGATAATTATGTTGGGGGTTGCAACGGTGATTGGGTTAGCATAACGATAGGATATGTGCACATAACAACAATATTTGCTAATAGGGTATAATAGGATCTGTACACACATAAGATGATTATTAGGGTTTGCTGTTGTTGTGGTGGTCGGATCTGTACACAAAAAATCGTACGAGGACTTCATCAACTGTAGCACCTGCACACATAAAAAGAGTAGAGCTGGCTTGGTAATAGGATTGTTGGCTTGCCTGATTCAAAGTTTAAACCTTTTTTGCAGGAGGATACTGTGCTTCTTCATGTCTGCGTCAGAGAGGGATCAGTCACTCAGAAGCTAGTCAAGCGGGACCGGTCAGCCATTAATTCGTCTTTGTCAAACATACAACATGAAAACAAGTTTCTCAAGTCGTTGTCTCCTGGCAGGGAAGGACCGCTCTCCTCTAGGTCTATCATAAGTAAGTTCAGTATAGCACAAGCTTAGCCCCAGGATAGACCGCGTCCCTCAGGCTGCGTTTACACGAAACGATACGGAACGAAAATGCGCTGGTCTCGAAACGTTTTCAAACCGTTTACACGACAACGGCAAATCGTTTTGAGCCGTTTATACGAGAACGGAAACCGGGCCATCAGGCTGGAGTTAGCACGTACTGGCTTGGCTCAAGGGCCACGTAAGTTGGAGTTAGCGCGTGCTGGCGGTCGCAAGCATTGGGTATTTCCCGTGAAATTTAGCTATCGCGGAATGGTTTCCCTGACCGCACTCGGTTTCCAATCGTTTTTTTTACCGTTTCCACCGTTACAGGAGAACGAAAACGTTTTGTAAACCCATTGAAATCGTTTCGAAACACTCTGAAGTGAGTTTCCATTTCGTTCCGTTAGGTATCGTTTTCGGGCGTTGTTGTGTAAACGATAATAGTAAACGCAACGATTTCATTCGCTTTCGGTCATACTTCGTTCTCGTGTAAACCCAACCTGACCTGACAAGCGAGGGGTTGTCATTTTGCACCTTATAGTCACAGTCCAAAAGTTGTTAGAATCTTCGTTGTTCAAATCTTCATCTTCACGACGGTCTATAGCTAATAAGAAAAAATATGGTGAGATTAGTATGAATCGGAGATTTAATGGCTAACAGTGATTCAGGTGGGGGCAGGCATGTGTTTAACGCCATATTACCGGGTGTGTCTTTACCACCATATTTATTAACCATAAATACAGCTGCAGTGGTGTCTTCAACTTCATTCTAACAGTGAATCAAGTAGTTTTAATGATGAGCGTGGCTCGTGAATGAGCAGATTGAATTTAGACGCTGTGGTGATATCTTTTCATTAACTAAAGCTGGTGATTGGATATTGCGTGCAAAACGTTGATCAGAGGCCATTGAACTAATGGAAATATTTTTACAGAGGAGTACTCAGGCAGGGGTTGGTTCATGCAGTTGCAAATGCCAAGTGCGAGCGTTCCCAAAGCTATAGCCTATATTGACACGAGTTAGGGTTGAGAGCATTTGAATATAAGGCGAGGCATAATAATATTATTGTTGTGTGAGCAAGCGCTATGTGTTTAACTTTAAAGCAGGATAATAATAAAAAAATCTTTATTTCAGGATAAGAGAATGGGTCCCTTCCCGCGGTGTAGAAGGTCAGAGTGGTTAATTAAGTTTGCATTGTTCGTCCTGCCAATGTGTCATGTAAGCAATGTTATCCTAAACGTTCTTGCAAAATTTCAGTGCATGTGCAAATGGCTTTAATACCACGTTGTTTAGTTTTCGACTACATGGTTCTCGGCTGTACTTTATAAGTGGAATTGAACTGTCCTGAATACTCGTGTTATGTAGCTTTGCCACTATATAGTATATACCGTTAGCTGTTATGATTGCTGTATTCATCCGTGTCCAGTTTTATTTGCTGAAGAATTTTTTGACATTTCGTGTATTTTTACGACTGTTTTGTCATATCTATGCACATGTATGTTCCGCTTGCCTATTCTGCTGTTGCACGCGCGTCTTCACATCATTGGCCTCGCTCGTTTCCCATTTCTGTTGTTTAGCTGGCTTATGGGAAGGCTAGCCAAGCTTGATTGGCGACGTCAACTGGAACAAGCATAATGCTAATAATGTTTAAAATATTGTAGTCACGATGTGAAAGACGTGCTCAGTTCAATGCTGTTAGTGCCGTGAAGTCTTTATCGGAGTTCTCCTGCATTTCACGGTTCTAACTTAAGCTTGTTTTGGGTAAATGCTGAACGACTGATTTGCCTCAACTAAGATGTTTGAACTTGATTCGGCACTAGTTTCGATTGTCTGCTGATATCTCCGCACCCCAGCTTTCTCCTGTCGTTGTCATGTCCCAGTACACAGCGGAGAGATAAACTAAATTTATAATTCACGGCACTAACAGCATTGGACACAGCACTTCTTTCACATCGTAAATACAATGGAACTATTGAAAATGACCAGATTCGGCAGTGATCGACCTTGTCTCTGGTGGACCTAAGCAGATCGCACATCATCACAGCGCTGGGCGCTATGGCAACGTATATCATACAATTGGCGGTGTTGCGAGTTTGGCCTATTTTAGGCAAGGGGGTATATGCAATTCGAACCGATGTCAAATTATTTTCCATCTGAACCCTTCTTGAAAAATCAATAAACTTCCCTTTTATACTGTAGCTGTTCTTATGGCTTTTGCAACGTGCATCTAAGGTACAATAGCCACTGCACTATTCTGTCTGTGCGGAATGTTCACTGCAGTGCAACCGTGAACCAGACACGAGATCGTTCGATATCCGCCCGAATGCGACAAACTAGACACAGGTATCGCGGCCTCCTTGGCACCTTGACCTGTCAGTCTGCATTGATAATGGACAGATGGCACGCGGTCTGTCACTCTGGTGAAGGTACTCTGGTCTGGAGATTTGCTGCCACGGAGTGCTGTAAGCGGCCGGTAATGCATCACAGTGCCAGTGAATCTGAATATACGCATTCTGAGTAAGATTGGTAAACACAGGCAGGAAGGGGATATCTTTGAGTACCGGTTTTATTCACATAAATCACAGATCCGATAAAGGCACACTGCGCGCATACCTCGAAAAACACAAAATGAGAGTCTCTAGTGAAGGTACATGCGCTTCACATGCTTTATTGGAAGTAAGGATAAAAATCATTCAACAAATAAACAAGAACGCGGCAAAGTATACATGACATCAAACAGGAAAGGCCTCTAAAAGGACAAGTCTCATATAAATGCATTGAAAATAAAGGACGCGTGCAAGGACTAGAAAAACACAGTAGCACGTTTGCTAAGATTGCTGATACATAAAGGCAGTGATAAGTGTTTGCACCAAGAGGAGCACGTCCGTGTCGGAGGATTCGGGGCATCTTCCACTTCAGCGGTAAGGAACAGGCAGGCAAAATTCGTTCCACACATTGTGTGTTCTTTGGTTGCTTCCCGACCTGGCCATAAAATCCATTCATTGCAAGTATACGGTATTTCATCGCACAACAAAAACTATTGTAATAATCTAGAATGGAGGTTGGGAACCGTGGTGTGCATTTGAAAGCACTGGTTTATTTAATGTTTTCAGCTACCGTGTAGTGATTGTTGTAACTGCCCGAACAATATGTTTGGTTGGATCCCCTGAAACGAATACTTTCCCTATTGATAGCTTGATGATTTCCTACGACTCTCAACCAGTCATATCATGAGCCATGACTGTGCTTGATGAACAACAAGTACAATGACGGCGAGGGGGGGGGGGAGGGGAGGAGGGGGAGGGGCTGGTTGATACATTATTCCAACACGAAGAGATGATGCAATCCCAATATCCCTATCCTCATCATGTGGTGAAGCATAGTTATAACTAACGACATTTATTTCTAATGTTAGTGTAGATCGATCTGCCTCACTCCAAACGTTTATTGCTGTGGCTGTCCCTGCAGCTGTTTGTTAGCGGGTGAAGCGTGTGTGTGCGTCTGTCGGTCTGTGCCTCGTGAGGCTCTGTGGCAGACATTTCTTCGGCTCGGTATACCGCTCAGGATGTGGCTCTAGTGCAGTCGCTCCACATGGACATGTCGGCGTCTGTTCGTGTTGCTGGTAGTTGTACCGATCCGATCTCTGCACAAAATGGTTTCCGGCAGGGGCGTGTCATCTCTCCTATGCTGTTGAACCTATATTTCGGATTGGTGATGGAGCGGGGGTCTGAAGTCAGGGAGCGCGGCATTGAGTCTGGAGTAGATTTCAGCTTTTTGATTGATGGGCAGTTGTTTCCCCATGCATCTGGGCGACGTCGAAAGTCTCAGACTGGTTATGTTGATGATTTTCAATTTTCCGATGACGCCGTCCTACTCGCAAAAACTCGTGTGGGCTTCAGACTCGTAGTCACGGATTGTTCCGATCTGGCAGTTGGCAATGAAGAGGTCGAAGTTGTTACCTCCTTCCTCAATCATGTTGATGTCCAAAGCTGCCTTGCGAAGGGTACCAGGGCCTTTGACTGTCTTCGGCGGATTTTGCATGACCAGAGCCTGAACCCGCCTACGCGACGGCATTTGTACGTGGTATGTGTTCTCACCACGGTTTTGTGGCTCGGAATGCTGGACCCCATTGAAGTCGGATTAGGACAAGCTAGACAGGTTCCATCACGCCAACCTACGGTCCATCTTTGGCATTTCGCGTGGTCGCCAGTGGAAGCAACACATCACATCGGAGTAACTACGTGCATAGTGGGATGACCTTACTCCACTTTCGTGCATGGTACAGCGAAAACGCTTGGAGTGGGTTACACACCCAACTCAGCTTGATGACAATCAGTTACCCACGCAGTTGCTCTTCGCTCATACCCCACGAACCCGTCCGTTTTCCGGCCCTCCACCATCGGTGGAAGAACGCTGTCCAGGCTGATCTGACTGTGGTCGGTGTCGGCAATTGGTTCGCATCGGCCGACGATCGCGGAGAGTGACGTGATTATCGTGTTGGAAGCAGCGGGGTTTAAGGAGCCTGCCCCGAAGACGAATATGCGCCACGTTTTCGGCCGCCTATTTCGTGGTTGCTGTGTCATGGCCCGGCACAAGTGCACACCAGTTCGGCAGCTCCCCGTAACACAACAGCCTTGTAAGGTTCTAAGTTATAGGAATAACATAAGGAGGGGAAGTAAAGGTGAGCGCAACCAAGATAACAACGAGCTTAAAATCTCAGCTGTGAAGGCGGATGTTCATGCATGTAGATGACCTTATGTTATTTCTAAAGTGGGAAGGCGTTAGGAGTGCGCATACCAGATGTGCTAAAGGTGTTATCTAGTTAGTTGTAGAACGTCAGTACCGTCGGTCAGTGTAGTGGAATTGTTATCGCATGAGCTGATTGTTTAGTAACTAGTGGTGTTAGTGGACACTAGGGCGTAATTTGTAATTCCTTGGTCCATTTTCTTACTCATCAATTCCATAAGATGAATGATTATAAGAGAGGGTTTGCTCCCCACACTGGAGCTCCCGCTATTCCGCCGACTTTACTTGACACTTAACTGACTCACGACTGCCATCCAGAGCACACGAGAAGTCCATCGAACCTTCGACTCAGCAAACCTGCAAGAAAGCACCACTTCCTGCTCAATACACAGGGTTTCGGGGAATTCACCCTTCATCAGTTGTGCTTGAGTAGGCTGAGGAAGATTGTGCCTGAAGAGCACCACTTATATAGTGCTCTCCAGGCACAAACATCACCAGGGATACAAACTTACAGAGACGCTCCGTTTCCAGCGCGACAAACACCTCGTGAACACCAGATAGCAGGGAGTGGTGCTTTCTTGCAGGTTAACCGAGTCGAAGGTTCGATGCACTTCTCGTGTGCTCTGGATGGCAGTCTTGAGTCAGTCAAGTGTCAAGTAAAGTCGGCGGAATAGCGCGAGCTCCAGTGTGGGGAGCAAACCCTTTCTTACAAATCATCGCCGAAGTCGCAACCACTACTTCGTACTGTTGTGCCCAGCGCGGGCTTGCGACTAGTTGGTTTGGAGGTGACAGCGTTGCGAATGACTGGGGATCCTCAACGTCTGTTCTCACCGTCCAGGAGCGACACTGACTCACGCTGCTATCTGGTGTTCACGAGGTGTTTGTCGCGCTGGAAACGGAGCGTCTCTGTATGTTTGTATCCCTGATGATGTTTGTGCCTCGAGAGCACTATATAAGTGGTGCTCTTCAGGCACAATCTTCCTCAGCCTACTCAAGCTAAACTGATGAGGGTGAATTTCCCGAAACACTGTGTATTGAGCAAGGAGTGGTGCTTTCTTGCAGGTTTTCTGAGTTGAAGGTTTGATGGACTTCTCGTGTGCTCTGGATGGCAGTCGTGAGTCAGTCAAGTGTCAAGTAAAGTCGGCGGAATAGCGCAAGCTCCAGTGTGGGGAGCAAACACTTTCTCAAAAATCATCGCCGAAGTCGCAATCATTACTTCGTAATGAATAATTATAGTAATGAGTTACAGAAGAAACGCTTTTCGTCCCTCTCAAGTGTGAGTAGTAATGATTATACAGACTCAATAAGATCACTGCAGGTTCACTGGATGCCATAAGTGGTTGCACATCGCCATACAAAGACAGTATATCCCAACTATCACCTGCTCACGCCGCACCATTTTGGATTTCGTAATGGCCTCCGAATATCGGACGCTTTGCAAGGTCTTCAAAATGCATCGCCAACCCCCGTGAGCTGTGGAGGTTCGGCTCTTATCCTTGCTATGGACATCGCAGGAGAGTTTGAACGTGTCTCACATGGCATCCTCTACAAGGTGTTTAGTCTAGGCATCGATGGTCCGCTTTAGAGGTGGTTGGTCTCGTATCTGGACCCCCATTCTCTACAGTGCCTCGTTGGAGGGCGGACGTCGTCTACGTATATAATCTGCGCTGGAATCCCCAGGGCAGCATTCTTGGCCCAACGGTTTTGCTGTCGTACTGTAACGCCAGATGTTCTCGCTGACGGAGCCAGCTTCGAGACCTATGCTGATGACATAGCTTTGTACAGCTTAGTCATGTCCCAGCAGACCCTTGAAGTCGCTTCACAGTCACTGGAGGTGTCCGTTGGCCGACTTCACGAGTGGGGCCGTAAATGGAAGAGGTTTTTCAATCGACAAAATCCCAGGCCATAACAGCCACCCTCAGACTCCTGCTTACTCATATTGGATGGTACACTGGTACCCTAGACAACCAGCATAACCATTCTTAGTGTTCATGAAGGTGAGTGCCAAGTTGACCTTTGGCGATCCCTTACGCACCTGTGCACGCCAACCTCTTGGGGTCCTAAACAGAGCCGCCCATATCGTACATCCTCACAACCGCCAGCCGGACTACCGTATAAAAGGCATTCGTACGACCAATCATGGAGTACGCGCCTCTTCTGTGGATGGGAGCTGTGCATGGTCACCTTCAGCGTCTGGAAAATGTTACACGCCGCGGACTAGGGGTGAATCAAGTATTAGAACAATCGACTAAGTTCGCCCTAATGGGAGAATTCGATTCGCTACTTCAAGGTGTCGAACGATCGTCGATGCATGCGCAGTCGGGTACTTGTACTTCAAAATGACATTGTACATGTATTGCGCAGAGCTCAGCCAGCCACCCTCGACCCCAGGTCCCTGTTACAGATTACAGTAGCTATTCAAAGAAGAAAGTTACTGCAGATTTTCCACTACTGTGACTAGCATGACGAGTTCGTCAGAATGATTCGTTCGCCTCTATTGAGATTTGTTTCAGGCCTACTATTTTGTCAGTTTTGGGATAATGTGTAAGTACCAGGCATGAAAGACCAAATGAATGATTAACTTTAATGTTTGCACGATAACTTTTGCTCTAAACTGTTCAGGAGCTTGCTACCTGTGTACAAACACCAGTATTATGTATAGAGCAAGCACCCCTGCAAAGACGGTCAATTATGTACCATGACTGCTTTTTTTCAACCTGAATATTCAGTCTTTCACACTTTGGCCGAATTCACGCAAAACAGAACTGTTACGCTCTACATTCAGGTTAAGAAATCAGGTGGAACTAGTGTTCTTAAGCCCTTGTTCTCAATCGGGCAGTTTTAGCCTGGTTTGAATTCGACCCAACAAGTCCGCTTGCATTGTATTCATTTGGCTTCTTCAGCAGAAACACATCTCACTGTAGACCTGTGGACCGACAACTCGACAAACCATAATGTGAACACATATAATTCTTTCTCTTTCCTTCATACTTCCTTTAAATTTTATCGGGTGCGTGCAGAGCGTGACGATGTTGAGACCAGTTGGTCGACGAAGCGCCTGGCCCAAATGGCTTTTATTAAACAAAATAGCCTCTAACCCAGGCACCTGCTCTCTCCGTGTTTTTCCTACGTTTCTCGTATAGCAGAACCTCCTTTTTTCTTTGCATTGTCTTTGTACAGCAGCCGAGCTACTAAATTAATCAGTGCATATTTTGATTTGAATCGACTTGCTTGTTCTGCCATTCTGCTTGTACTCCAGTCCAGGAAGAAGTGGTACGCCATGGGTCACCTTGGGAGCTACGTTTTTGCTTTGCTGTTGATCAGTGCAAGCTGGCTGGCGTTAGATGCCCAGTCATATGTGTGTAAGTGTGAATCCATTGTTTCAGAGGTTTTGCACGTTTTTCACACTGTAACTGATGATACATAAATGAACGTCGAACGTCGAACGTCGAACGTCGAGTGTTTTAGCTTTACAGAAGTCTACCGTTTTTCAGTTATTATAAATATATTCTGGACTGTAAAAAAAAAGAAGAAAAAAAACATGAGAACGAGTTATGCAGCAACTATCCACGACGGTAAAAATTCTGGACAATACATGTATAAAAGAAAGTAGTTAATTGATCTTTTTTCTTGAAATTCCTTGAAATTTGTTTATGTATATCTAATATTGACTGAGTACGACGTCAATATAGGAAATAAAAGCCGAGTAAAAGACCGAGGCGAGGCCGAGTAAAAGACCAAGGCGAAGTCGAGGTCTTTTACGAGGTTTTTATTTCCTATACTAACCAAGTACGAAGTCAATATTAGATTTATCGCGACAAACAGTCCGTTTTCAAATTCCAGAACGATAACCTCACGAATCCCGGTTTATGATTGCACAACCGTTGCACCACCACCTACTCATGCAGTGACAATGCTGCACAAGGCACCGTTCAACTGTGCAGCCCCTAAGCAGTCAAATATAAGCTGTCAATATAGCCCTAAGGAGTGAAATATGCAGGAATATTTGACTGCTTAGGTATGGCAAAAATCTATGTGAGTCTATGTGAGTCAATACTAAGGGAGTGATAAAATACATTATTACAAGAGAGAGATTGGAAGGTTTTTTTTTTTTTTTTTTATGAAAGTGCACATGCCTACATATAGAATGGAAGAGAAAAACAACAACAACATCAAGAGAACATAGGGGACTACAATGGGCGTGTAGGTGCTATTGAGCTGTGCCGGTGAGGTGAAGTGTGCTCCCCCGACCAATGGTCTCGGGATCAAGGCGCACATCACGCACCATGGGGGAAAGGGAGAGAAGAAAGACTGTGTGTGAAGAGTGAGAACCTGAGAGCCAGACAATGATGGAGAGAGAGAGAGAGAGAGAGAGAGAGAGAGAGAGAGAGAGAGAGAAAGAAAGAGAGAGAGAGAGACAGAGAGACAGAGAGAGACAGAGAGAGAGACAGAGAGACAGAGAGAGAGAGAGAGAGAGACAGAGAGAGAGAGAGAGAGAGAGAGAGAGAGAGAGAGAGAGAGAGAGAGAGAGAGAGAGAGAGAGAGAGAGAGAGAGAGAGAGAGAGAGAGAGTGAGAGAGAGAGAGAGAGAGAGATAGAGAGAGACAGAGGAGAGGAAGAGAGGGGGGGGGGGGGCGGGTGAGTGAGGGTGAGTGAGTGAGTGCCAGGTTGGTTCAGGAAACTATGGCAATGGACCAGCAGCTGCGTTGCTTTCAGTGGGGGGGAGGGGGCAATACGGAGAAGTTAGATCGGAGCTGCTGCCACGCAGAGTAGTGTGCAGGCACTGGATCAGCGAGAAAGGAGCCACGAAAAGCAGTAAAAAGGAAAGAAGAGAAGAAATAAACATTAATGCAAACACATTCTGCACTGAGGTGATTCGAGAGGTCTAGGGAGCAAGGTACAGTTCAGTGGGGTGAAAACAAGGTGATCGTTGTGGGACTGGAGAATGGAACATCGTCAAATTTAGCCATGGAATGCTGTCGCCCACAGCCAATCTTGGCGTATCGGGTGCTGACAAATGCGAGACTTGAATGCCTGCATTCCCTTCGATGCCGGAGGTTCCGGGATGGCTTGCTCAGGAATGTCGTTCCATGCCGCAATGAGGGTGTAGGGGAATGATCTCAGTAGGTAGTTCGGTGCTGTCCGAGCAAGTGGCCATTGCAACTGGAAAGGGTGGCGAGAAGCTAGTTGTCGGCGGGTTCTTGGAGTAGGTGCATGCGCCGACGGTGGCGGGAGGAGGGCTGTCAGCTGGGGTGGACCCTTAATGTAGTGCAACTTGTACACATATGCAAGCCCTGAGACTGCCCTCCTGAGCTGCAGGCTCTGAAGGATCGTGCCAGGTCCGATGATGCGCATTGCCTTCTCCTGCACCCTGTCATAGCGTGCCAGGTGGGATTGGGCTGCACACATGGTGGCTAGGGGAGCGTACTCCAGGATGGGCCGAATGAACCCCTTATACACGGCAAGGCGGCCCTCATGACCCAGAAGCCAAGCGGCACGGCGCAAGAATCCCAGGCGCTGGCTGGCCTTGACAGCGACAGCATGAATATGGCGCTGGAACCCAAGCTTAGAGTCGAACGTAACTCCAAGCAGCTTTAGGTGGTCCGAGTCCGGAATAATCTCGCCGGCAAAAGTGGTTGGTGGAAAGTCAGGGCGCTTTCGAGCATTGCACAAAATCAGGCGCTGGCTCTTGGTGGGCTCGAACTGGATCCGCCATTGCTGGCCCCATGGGGCAAGATTGCTGAGGGTTGTCTGTAAGGATGCTGCCTTCTCCTGGAGGTTGTCGTTTGGTCTGATCAGACTGTACACGGTAGTGTCATCGGCGAAAGAGCTGAGCTTTACTCCATGCGAGAGGCATTGGTCGATATCGGCAGCAAACAATATGAAGAGTGTGGGGCCCAGGACGCTGCCCTGGGGCACTCCGGCAGTGATCGGGTACTTCTTGGAAGCGTGGCCTCCAGTTACCACCTTTAGGCAGCGGTTACTCAGGTAGTCGCGTAGCCAAGAGAGAAGAGGTCCGCCGATGCCTACTCGCTCTGCTTTGTTGAGGAGGCCGACGTGAGAGACGCGGTCAAACGCACCGGCAATATCAATTGCTACTACTGGGACACAGCCTCCCTCAGCTACAACCTGCACCCATTCGCTCTGGAGTACTGTGAGGAGGTCAGCTGTGCCACAGCCACGTCTAAAACCAAACTGGCTGTCAGGCAGCAGGTCGTTGCGCTTTGTTACAACTCTGAGTTTCACGTATTACTACCATCATCAGGCAAATTGCAATCATGTTAGCATGTTCTTATTTGTTCTTGAGTACGACAATGATTTCTAAAGAGTGTTGCACGAAAACATGTTCGAATCATCTTTTTTTCCATCACATTTTCTCCTTACATGTATTTAATACATGTATTTATCATTACCTTTAAGATCGTTTTCCGCATCGTCTCCATCCCTTAACATTGTTCAATAAAGCAACCCAAATGTCACTTTGCCTCGTCCTCCTTATTGCATTATTAAAACTGTTGTCTCCATGTCGAATATTTAAATAACACAGTTGCGCGCGATGGAACATTAATATTGTGCAACACTAATGTTAGGTCCGCTGCTGTCTCTTGATGAATCTTTCCGTTGTTCTAGTTAAGTATCATTAGTTGCAGAGCCACGCTCTCCATGCCGGTTTGTCCCTTGCCCACTCAGTCACCAGGTCCAGATCACGCACAGTGGTGAAAGTCATTCCGGCCTCTCTCTTGTCAACGCCTTTCTTGGGCGCCGTGGACGACCTCCGAAGTCTTGGGTCAAGTAGATGTTCATGGCTTTGCGGGCGGGCATGTCAGGGGACATTCTCAGGATGTGTCCTCTCTTTTTCTCCTGCTTTGCCCTTTTATCAGGGTCCTCGTGCGCTTATCTATTCGATCCCTAACTCACATTTTTAACTACAAGGTTTTGTTTTTTGTTTTCCGTTGCCTACATGATCTTGCAAGTCCTCTTTTCTGCACCTACTTTCAGTTGATGGCTAACACAGGCCAAGCATCCCGGGATGATCGCCGAATTACTCGAGGACAGGAGCAGCGGCTACTGCAAGTGCCTTTCCTTCCTGGACCTTCCGGTCGTCAGTCATTGACATTTGTGGGAAGCACTCTTTGGAATGCCCTTCCCAGCGATATTCGCCTCCACAGTGCGGCGGTTGCCTGTAAACTGGCTCTGAACAGAATTAATTGTAATTTGTAACCACCTTGCTCGGCATCCCTACACATTACTGCATGTTTTCTCGGTGTTTTCTTCACTGCATGCTTACACATACACACACCCATTTGAATTATATACAAACTTTGTGCTTAGGAATTATCATGTTATGATCCTTTTTAATATTTCCTTCTCTCATAATATTATATTCGTTCTTAGCAGAAACCGGAGGTTTTTCCTCTGGTGAGAAGGCAGAATTGCCTGTGCTCTAAACGAATTCAAATAAAAGAAAGAAGAAAAAAAGGGTGGATATTGGACAGGTTTCACAACGTTCGCACAGGCGTTCATCGCTGATTTGGTCTTGTAGCTTGATAACCAGGACATGTCGAAGTGGCTTTGTATGGAGTACGTCTTACTTGTGGAGGTTTCCCGCCGTCAATCCCCATGCCTGACAGTTGTATAGGAGACTAGGAAGGACAATGACATTATGCAGACATAATCTTCTCGGCTCTGAGATCTGCTCTCTCCTCAGCCACATCGTATACATCAGTCTGAAGGATATGGACACCTGACTCATTCGTCTGCCACAGTCCTCCTCCTCCCCAATCAATGATCCAAGTTTCTTCGAGGTCTCCTAATGGTGTGAGGAAATGTTATAACGAGCGCGACTTTGAAGATTTGACCAATCAGGCTATATTGAGCGAGAACCCGAATCCACGGCGGGGCAATTGGCTTGTGGCAATCTAGAGAAATTAAGACTAGCTTCATCCGAAGATCAAAAGCTTCTCCACAGGGACTAAGTAGGATGGAATTACTTGGTTTTGGAGAGGAAGCAATACCGGCGTCGCTATCAAAATTAGCAGATGGAGCATACGTATTTAAAAAGAAGTGCAGAACACAACATAGCCTTTTGTGTTTCACGTTAGAAATCAAAGATCCGAACATGCCTTTTATCCTAATATTAATTAAGCCATTAATAACATCTAATTAAATGCAGCTCAAATGTTTTCGTGACTGTAGACATTACAGACTCATCTTCTGATACAAACATGAGCAGCCGTGTACCTCACACTGGGCTAAAAATATGACTAGAATTTAGTACCCAACGTGAGATGGGGTCGGCAGAAAGAATGGCTGATGCTTGTGGAAAAATGTGCTGCGCTTGCGTAGTTGTTCTTACTGCGATACGTTCTAACAATAATGAGATGCCTTTTGTCGGCTTTTCTGCCTGGATTTCGTTGACAGATGCGTTAAGCCCATGGATCCTTCCATGAGTGACATGCGAACTGTAACTAATATTATATTATTATTATTAGTGTTTGGCAGGCTGGCGTCTGGAACAGTGTATGAGCCTAAGGTCTATTAGCACATTAGAACTTGCGGTAATGTAGGTTCACACATTAAACAAACCACCGGTTCACACGCGCTCCAGCGGCCTTCAAAGAGCCCGCAACTCCTAGGTGATTCATTGATGCAAGTAAAGAACACACTTATATGCAACCAAGAACTCATCTGAACTCGCCAGCCGACCAGTCATATACGGCTGCAGCGCACATTGGAGTTGGAAACTGGAACGCATACATCATACTTCGCGCTGGCCACTTCACTGGGCCAGATGCCAAGGTGGATGTGGCCTCTGCCTGCAATGCCAAGGCCACCACCCACAAACGGCTTGCACTGCCTCCTCCGCGAGCAAACAGCCCAGCACATCAGGGCCACCCGTCAAACGGTCAGGCAAGTATATCACCTGTTACGGGCCCCGACCCAAGCATGGCGGGACACCATGCCACTAGCCCTGCTTCCGTTAATCAGGCATGTACAGACAGTAGTAACTCACAGTTTCCCCCGCTCGCCTTCCCTGCTCTTAATATCGGTATGCCATGTCTTCACACACCCATTGATGTTGTCCGCTTTACTAGACTGCTCACTGATCATCCAGACAAGGCATTCTTCTCCCGCATGAGCAGGGGCTTACAATAAAGATTCGGCATAGGCTTCTCTGGTCGCCGTCAGTCAGCCCCAATATCTGAGTATCTAGCAACATCCTGCGGCCCTTTTTCCACCTCTCGATTTCCATCCTTCCAGTGCTCGGACATGGGTGTGGCGCCAAAAATAATGCTAAACTACGCATTAGCCACCTTATCGGCTCCCGTCGGCAATAGTGTTAAAGATGGCATCGACCCGCCCGCGTTTAGCTTGTCATATATCTGGATAGACGATGCAGTGCAAACCATCATGGCCTACGGGCAGGGTGCATTCCGGCTCGTCCCTGTGCACATATCCGACTGGTCTCTACTAGGCATTCAGTGGCAAGGGAAATGTTACTTGACCGAGTGCTGCCGTTCGGCCTATGCTCCAGCCAGTTTCTCCTCCGACCCGGTTGGAAGGGCCATTGAGTGCATTACTACTAAATGTTCCATCCCTCATCTCCTTCACCATCTAGACTGTCAGCCCTCCTCAGCGAAGCCTTGCTATCCATGCAAAGGACGTCATCCTGCAAGCGTTCAAATACCTATCAATCCCACTAGCCGAGGAGAGGCTCGAGGGCCCGTCCACATCCCTGGTCTTCCACAGAATTCTGCTGGACGCGGTGCGCATGGAAGCCCCCCCCCCTTCCCCGACGACAAACTGGCGGCCTTCCGCGACCTCCTCTGCGAGATGTAACGCTGCACCCAGAAAACGCAACGCAACTCGACCACTTCCTAGGGAAACTCTTCTTTGCGCGTAGCGTCGTCGCACCATGCAGAACATCTTCAAGCGTATGGGTTATCAACAAGAGGTTTAGCCGCGCCAAGTCTTATTTACGGATCACTCTTACAGGCGAAGCCAGGAAAGACATCCGTTAGTGGCAGCTTCAGACCCAGCATTGGAACGGGAAGTCATTCCTTCTCTACAACAGCAGTACATCGTCGGCCGACCTTCGACTCTACACAGACGCTAGCGGCACTCTAGGATTGGACGCAGTCTACGGCACTGAGCAGTGCTAGATTCAGGACATATGGACAAAGGAGCAAGAAGGAGAAAGCATGGGATGCAAAGAGCTCTACGCCCTGGCGATGACTTGCAGTACTTGGGGCCATCTGCGGTCCCAGCAACGTATCCTAATTCAGTGCCTGAAGTCAATCTGCAACAATTCACCAGGCATGATGTCACTGCCACTTCCATTGTTATTCGGTTGTGCAACGGACAGCTTCACCAGTACAGCCAAATATCTACCTGGGCGTCTGAATTCGATGCTCTGACTCGTTTCGACCTGTAGGCATTCCAGCAGCTGGGGCCATCGGCACAGCAAACCCAGGACACTGCAATCCGCATCCCGCTCTTTGACTGATACGGGAGGTCGTCGACCTAGCAGCCATGGCAGTCGTCCCGACAACGAGGCGCACCTACACCACGGGCAAAAGGAAACGTACGCAATTATGTGCGTTGCAGAGATGGATGATGCTCAGCTGCTTCTCAGCACACCTCAAGCAATAGGTTCGACCAAAGACAATTCATCTCTACGTGGCCGCATTACGCAACATGCATCTCGAAGCCGAACTCCGAGATCCAACAATGAACGTGCTGCTGCTCCCACGTGTTATGCGAAGCATCAAGAGGACGGCGACTGACCCAGCAAGGCAGCAACCCAGCATACGCGCCTCCCAATCACCATTGATTTGCTGCAGAAGCTCCCTCAACCACGGGCACGTTCGAATTGTCACTCTTTGACTTTCGTTTTTCAGAAGAGGTGGCCTTATTGGCGTCTTCAGAAAAAACGAAACTCCTCGAAACTCCACAACCTCATCGGATGGGAGAGGTAGATTACTTCCCAAGAGTTTGGAATAGCCACCTCACGTGGTACGTGGAGATGGTCGATCTGATCGAGCGTCATCATCGCCATGACAATTCCACTGAAAAACTTTAAAATGATAGAAACCGTTCTAATAGGACACTACAACTAATCTCTTTTAAACATTTGTTCGAACAGTTGATGAAGACAATTCAAACGCGCACTAACTCAGGCTGGACCAACGGCGTCACCAGCAAGACAAGTGCATGCTCAAGGCGGCAAGGGTGCTCGCCTTCTTCGGATTTCTCCGATGCGCTGAATTCTCTGCACTTCCGGCCGGGTTTGACCCTGCCACTCATGCCACGCTCTAGGATGTAACTCAAGAACGCACATATATCCGCTTCCACATCAAGTAATCGAAGATGGACCAATTCCGTCAGGGCCATGCAGTGATAATCGCCAGCACCACTTCACAACCTTGCCCGGTTGCCACCCTCAAGGCATATTTTGCAGTCTGTCCGTCTGACGCACTCTTAACGGCTATAAAGCAAAAAAAAACATTGTATGTATGGAGCCTAAAACGCCAGAGCAAGACCTACGAGATTGGAACGGGCCCAAGCGTAGACCAATGTCACCAAACGTTGCAACGTATATGTCGCGGAGAAACACAACATTAGCATATGCGATCGCAGCACCTTCCTCAACAAGCTCGTGTCAAAGTCTATGCACGCTGCCAAGTTCCTGTTTGGCAAGTATGGAATCACGTGATTTTCAACCACATGGACCGCGACACACAATAGGGCTTGAAAGTGCTACGTCACAGCATAGCAACAATATCAAAAATTCAAAAAACTGGATCCACTTGGATCATGTTTGTTATGGATCCAAGCACATTTCAAGCAGTCTTACTCACAGCAAGGTGATGTAGCCAGTGAAACTGACTGGTTTGGCTACCGGCTGTTTGGGGTAACAACTGGCGGCGAAGTAAAAGGAACACCTGGATACGACATAAGCGGGTTGCTATGCACCCACATACTGAGACAATAGGGAAGTCACACCTTATTAGATCCAAAATAGAAATCTGATGTCAACTTACTACTCCCTGGCCGTTTTGCCGTCATCACTTACAAGCCCATTGCACCCGTTTGCAGCCTTTTTAGTTATGCTTGCCGTCGCGTCTTCATGGACATTCCATCTCATTTTAATTTTCCTCACCTTTTCTAAGCACCTTTAGCCAACACAGTGGGCGAAAATTTGCACCTTGCACCTGTTTGTTGGTACATTGAAGGGCAAATATCTCGCCTCCTTCAGCGTATTTGAAGCGCTTACCAAAATGTGCGGCATCTTGCACCTGCATGATTGTGATTGCATGCAAGCCACATTATCATTCTTTCACACAGTCTTGCTTGCTTTTCTAGCCTAAAAGCATAATTAATTTTATTTTCTCACGCACTGACTGTGGGAGTTTGGCACGTTTTCCCTATAGGACTTTTCACAACCCCCACCATGACCTCACACCGTTACGGGTTCCCTCCTATGCCACTGCATCAAATTAAAATACCATACTAGCTGTGCATCACTGTTATCAGTTGTCTGAAGATTGCCATCTGGCATGAAACTATTAGATACAACAAACCAGACGCGTGGTATTCTGTGACTCATGTGGTTGTGTGTTCATGTATTTGTGTGACCACCCCTCACGTACGTTGCGTTAGGCCCCCAATAGGTTAAACAGGTGTTTGAACATGGCCATTTTGTATGTTCTTCATTGCATTGGGCAGATCATTTCAACTGCAATAATCCGCAAGGTCTCTACTACATCAGCAACCCAGTTTGGACCTCGACAGCGTCATGTACTGGGACAAATCTTCTTTTACCAGATTCAGAAGCAAGTTCAACCTGCGTGCAGAATTACATTGCTCATATTAACTCTCAACTCGGTACCATGAGTACAGTATATACAGATTTGAATGGAGCAGTGTCATGCTACCCAAGGGTGGATCCATGCCCTTCCACAGGAACGATTGTCATGTGCCGCAATACCATACCTTCCGCTAGCAATGGTAAGTCATAAATTCCAACCTCCAACCCCTTCAAAAGGGGGAATGGAACATTTTCTAATTTCTAAACTGCGGGAAGCATGGATGCAGCAAATGGGAATTTCCGGTCGTTGACCACTTTGGTGGGTTAGATCTACTCACCTCCCACTGCTTTAGGAGCTGCATGTGCGCCTTGATCTTTGAACGGTGGTGATGTCGCGTGAGACTCGACCTCTGCCCGAGTCTCACGCGAATAGTATTTTTAAAACTGATTAGATGTGCACTGTTTGTGGAGTGTGCCATAGACTGGCAGTGTAAATTTAATCCTTACCAGTGTGATACACACAACCCGCCTCGAAAAGAGCTGTTTCAGGATAATTCCGGTTTCAATATACACATTGCAGAGTCCACACATTCTCCACTAACTAGGGAGGATGATTTCTTAAAACTTCTGTTGTAACCGTACCTGCAAACGGCCGCATAAACCATGTTTGGTCAGAGTATTTGAGATTTCTCTCTTTCAGCAGGGTTTATGAGCGTACCGGGTGAATGCTATTTACTTTATTCTTCTGCAGCTTCCACCAACCCGCGATGTTCTGAAAATCTACAGATCTCAAATGGCAAAGTACTCTACCCATCAGGAAACGTTTTCCCATCACAATCATTGGACACATGCAATCAAGGATACTACATCAGTGGCTTTAGACTTGCAGAGTGCAGCCCAGGGGGCACCTGGAGGAGCCGTGTGGCCACTTGTACAGGTATGGTCCAGCTATATCTTGCCTTTATGCTGTACAGAGAAGATATTTCTATCTACCGTGTCATCCGGAACACATGCATAAACTAGGCACATCCTGAATAGGCCGCCCGCTAAATTGGCCGAAACAGTGGTTTTGAAGGAATCGCCGATCTTTTCGGCGAATAGTTTTGTTTTTTCACGGCTGAGCGTAGCGAATGAGTGCGAAAAACGTATTTTTCCCTCGCAAATATTTTCATGCGTTTGCTCTTGTTCTGCGCAACTCCGTTGAACCTGCCATCGTGGTCTTTGTTTTTCCTCGTGGTAGTTGAAGTTTTCAAGTGCTCCAGTTTTTAGTTTCCACTCGCAACCACACAACACAACAACTCATCTATTTTATTTTTCATAGTAGATCTACAGTGTACTAGTCCTTAGTAGTAGAGAAAGAAACGACAGTGCCGTGCACCGTCTATTATCAATCGGTCCAGCCTACGAAAGGTGTACATCGCCTGATTGGGCCTGCAAACTGATGTACCAGAAGTTTTTGGGAGCTGCTGATCGATTTGCGAAAGGCATAAACAGCTAAAACTAGCTGAGCGTAATCCGCCACACACCAGCAAGTTGCGTACAAGGCGGAGCAGAGTCACCATTGACGGCTATACAAATCATTGCGTTTCGGACGACCAGCAAATATTGTGGGAGTAAAAATCAATGTAGTTGAAAAAACAATTGGTCACTCAGCACCGACATGTCGAGTCAACACCTACCTGTACCGCAACCATACTGCTCAACGGCTTCAAGGAGTTCTTGAAAGTTTTCCGTGGGCGCAGTGATGAGATCGAGAGGCTACGGAGTCGGGGATGAGCGCTGTCGATCACAACATCATGTCCCAAATGGTGGCGAAGCTCCTGGCAGAGACACACTGAAAGTGCTGGCAGTGGTGACACTGCAGTCATACTGAAGTAGCTGTCTCATATCGTGGCGAAGGGCAGCAAGGTCGTAGCTGTCTCTCGACAACACCAGCCGGAGTTCACTGAGACCGCCAGATTTCGGACAGCACATGGACTGGAGAAAAGATAAGTATTAGTACTTGAGATTGTGGATGTTTTCGATAATTTACCAAGTAGTTGACATGATCGAAAGGGGTGTACACGCCGTCGTATTCACGGGAACAAACAAACGCTCAGCCGTAGCGCCCTAGGCCCTACACAGGGTGCATGATCAATGTCACGGGACCATCAGAATGTTATGGATTTGCAGAGTGAGATACATGACTGTATCGTGTTTGTAGAGGCAACCATGAACAACAAGATTAGTTAGTTTGTTAGTCTGAGTACAAAAATCTGGCAGCAATTGCATGACAGTAAATGTTGTCAATCGTGCAAAATGCCAGTAGATTTTCGGCCAGGTGTAATCGGGGTGTAACAGATTTCGACATCTGCAGCCATCGGACACAAGGGGGAACAATTGGCCGGCAGGACGAGACAAATGTTTTTCTCACGGGTGGGGCCTACCAGACATGGTTCCGGAATAAATTCATGCAAAAGTTGACTACTTGCTGATTTCAAACTGGTTTTCCTGAGGTGCCCATCCACCTCACTCACGTCAGATTATTAGTAGTAGTATTCACACATTTCTACCGAATGAGCCCGCGGCTAAGCAGTTCAGATACAGGGATCCAGCATATGTTCTCTTAGCATAAAAGCAAGCAAAGAATAAGGAGTCAATGGGCAATGGAAACAGTTCCAAAGGGCAGCCAGGGATTGTATGAGTGCAAACAGGTATGACAAATAGTCATTGGCTATTGCAGCAGCGGACAGCACAACAGAGAATGTGACAGCAACCGCAGGGGGGGGGGGGGGGGGGGGGGCGTGCGATGTTGACCAAGGTTAGGAAGCAGTACTGTCCAGGTTTCCTTCATCCAGAGAGTACGACTAGGGTTCCCGAGCACGCTCAATATCAGTGTACGTTCTAGATGGAGCGACAACTAAAGCGACAGGTAGTGCATAGTCCTCACTCGGTCGTGGCAGTCTGCAATGCGCGAGGTGAGGTAACATGAACTCCATTGTTGTAACGCCAAACCAATTCATGGAAGCTAAGCCACCACTTTGATTGTGTAAAGTGTGCAAGACACCGCAGTCAGCTGCCAGGCCAAGTCAACTGGTTAAAGCTTTACGTATCTTGATATTTCCTGTACTTGCCGTCCTTATGTTTTCGGTGTTGAATCTTAACGAAGCATTGATTAATTTTTTCCTCTTGCTGTCCTCTGATGCTTTATAGCGCTTTCAGTACCAAGCCAGTACCTAGGCCGTGGAACAGACACCGGATCACCCACGGCTGGACATGATGCAAGCGATTGGGAACGGCCTTGTGTGATGTATAAATGAATAAGGTATGTGTCCCGGCATGCCATTATTAAAAATTTAGTGTGTACGTGAGTGATGATGGAGTGAGTAAGAAGCCCGATGGGCAGTGACGACACATGACTGCGTATGGCTTGATGCCATAATCACGGAGAAGCCCGATGGGCAGTGAGGATACCAGATTGTGTATGGCTTGACGCCATGATGAGGGAGAAGCCCCATGGGCATTGATGACGCGTGATTATGTATGCCTTGATGCCATGATGAGGGGGAGGGAGAAGCCCGATGGGCAGTGATGATTATGGCTTGGTGCCATGATAAGGGAGAAGCCCGATGGGCAGTGATGACACATGATTGTGTATGGCTTGATGCCATGATGAGTTGGAGGGAGAAGCCCAATGGGCAGTGATGAGTATGGCTTGGTGCCATGATGAGGGAGAAGCTCGATGGGCAGTGATGACACATAGTTGTGTATGGCTTGATGCCATGATGAGGGAGAAGCCCGATGGGCAGTGATGGCACATGGTTGTGTATGGCTTGATGTCATGATGAGAGAGAAGCCCGATGGGCAGTGATGACATATGATGGTGTATGACTTGATGAAAGATCATGTGGTTGTGAATGATTACAGAAAAAGAGAGAGAGAGGGCGCGCGCGTGCGCGCGACTGGACGAATGAGACTCCTGCACAGATGAGTCCAGTCTTTGATGTGGTTGAGCCTGTTGTGGCGAGACGACTGCATGGTTGCATTGCAACGACCATGCCACATACGCAATAGGGTGAGGTTTGACACGTAAACCTTGTCCCCTAACTGTCAGTTACCTAGAGGTATGTGTGTTTTTTATGTCTCGGTACCTGCTTTTAACCCAATTTTCGTTGTGGCACGTGGAGGAGTGTACGTGCGCGGGCAGTACGTGTGTGTACAGTGAGCGTGTGTACAGTGAGTGTGTGTGTACGGTGAGTGTGCGTAAGGGTGCATGTGTGTGCAGTAAGTGTGTGTAAGGGTGCGGACGTGTGCATTCGATATAGCATTCCTTCTCTTGCAGGAACTGAACGGACGTCCAGCCCAATCACGGAAGTACAGCACCTCACATTGACTTTACTGGCAGTACTACTCCATGATGTAGCACTCGCCACCTAGCAGGGGAACTTTCGGGCATTTCGCAGAGATTTTGTCTGCTCTGATTGCACTGCTGATCATGTGATCCTGGCTGATGTGTGCTCGCCCGGTTGCTGCCGGACCAAACCTGGCCAGCTGGTGGTCATCCCAGGGTAAGTCTGGCCGGGTCTCCATAATGTTCATAGTAACTAAACACTTGACCACAGATGGTGGTCACAGTGCCCCAGACTTTGGCACACTGGCACCAGGCGCCACACTGCTCGTTTTTCCTTGTCCAAGTCTATGTGTGCTGCCCTCCTATTGGCCTCACTATCCTTTACATCGTGAGTGTGATTCTGGTAGACCACTACCCCATGTACTGAACAGTTGCTTTGTAAGTGAAAAGGTTTGTTTTTCTCGGCTAAGCGTAGCGAAAGAGTGCAAAAATCGTATTTTCCACTCGCAAATATTTTCATGCGTTTGCTCTTGTTCTGCGCATCTCCGTTGAACCTGCCATCGTGGTCTTTGTTTTTCCTCGTGGTAGTTGAAGTTCCCCGCCCACCCACCCTGGTTTCATGGGGGTCTTCCCCTGTTCTTCTTGATATTGTATGCCAATGTGTGTGGCTTATGATTATGACATACACTGGTTATTACATACCATTTTTTGCTGTCTCTATTCTTGGGTCCGACTGGCAGCGGGGCAGGAATTAATGAAATCGAAAGGGGTTTTTTTGGCCGGAAGGCGTGTTTTTCCTCTAGGCCGGTTGAGCGGTCGCGGCTAGGAATGTAGGGAGTCATTGTTTTCAGGCGCTCCCCT